TCCGGACAGTATGTTTTTCCGAGTGAGTGTGGGGCAGATGGGAGGGTGTACCCCCTCATCAGGGCCAGAAGGGATTTACTTGGATGCCCTTATCTGCAAGTCATTACAGATAATTATTTTTTTAAAATTTAAACCAATAAATGATTTTTTTTTAAATTAACTTTTACTGTAACTATATTGGCTGAATAATTTCAAAATGACATTTTTAGGGTTTTTCAAAATGACGTTTTCAGGGTTTTTCACCTTTATATTATTGATACATGCTTGACTTCAGCCACTGCTTGACCAAGGACCATATCTCAGCATTACAAACTCACCCGTAACACGAGGCCTCACGGCATTCACAGGCACGGAGGACGACTGTGACTTGCAAAGCCACAGCAGCGGTCCCGCTGTCCCCTCCTCCAGGAGGGATTCTCCCACCCCTGACCATCCTGGACGTGCTTCATGTGCTCAGCATATGCTCCATAAGCCATGAAATCATGAAAGAGTTGCTTCCCTCGACCTACCCCAAAGCTTATTGTAGTTAGATATAAAACTTTTGCTCTTTGTTGTTCCGTCCCCTCTCCCATACCACTTTTTGTAGTTGATGCTGAAAAACTCTTTTCAAAGGTGTCACGTTGCTCCTGCATATCCTTGATGGTGTCCTTAGATTTCATGAGAAGGCTGCAACAAACCGGATATTTGATTCTTTGGGCTGTGCACAAAGGCTCTGTTAGATGCCTTCAAATCAAAATTGCAATGTCTGGAATTTATATTAGTTTCTTCTAACACTCCACTAAAATCCTGGCTGATAAAACATCTCGTTCGTATTTTTCAGGCATTGCTTTTCTTCCAGCTAGTATCTCTTATCTCATCGGGACTAATCTTTTTGGAATACTTGCGCACAAAATGGGAAGGTATGCTTAATTTAAAAACACTAATAATGTTCCAAGCTGTTCATGCATCATTTCCAGTGTTTCCCAGGGCAGTTTATAGATGGTGGAAATTATTAAAGCTTGTTCTATAGCAGCAAAATCACTTTTTTGAACATGGTACTACTTTGGTTGTGTAACTTGGCACTCAGACATGACTTTGAAACATTCAAGATCGGTTCTAACATCACAGTGTCACCAGTCTCTGAGTGATGTGTCTTCTTTGATAGGTGGCTTTGTGCTTTACTTGGGATGCTCATCGTGGGAATAAGTATTTTATGTGTAAGTAGAAGATCATTTATCTTTCAAACTATCTAAATGTTCAAGTTATCATCTTCAAATACGCACTTTCCCCATGAGATTTTGCTGTTTCTGCCTTATTATGATATGTTACTAAACAATGTGTAGCTAATAAGTTCCAGATCAGTTTTGAGTACTTTCAAATTTCAGTGTTTCAATTATTTTGAAGGAAGACTGGCCCTGGATGGGAGGGATGATCTGTTTTTTTGAGCTGTCACTCAACAGTTTATCCTTGCACATAATAGGAAGTGTGTCAGTGGTTTAATGGCAGTTGTCTGAAACAGTAGCCCAGAACAAGGATCAAACTCTTAACTTGCACATCTGTACCAAATGTGCCATAACTACTCTATTTATCTTAGAAAAAGAAAACTAACCCTATTAGCATGTGCAGTGTGACATAATTAACTGCCTGAAATTTCCTTTATAGGTACCATTTGCTAAAAACATTTATGGGCTTATAGCACCAAATTTTGGAGTTGGATTTGCCATTGGTAAGAAAAATTCCAATGACTTCTTACAGACTGTTGCTTATGTAAAAATGATTTTATACGAAGTTAAATGGAAAATTAGTTTTGCTGCCATTCTAATCTGACAGTAGTGAAGCCTGAGGTGTGGCCCAAACTGGTAGGAAGAGCAAGAAGGATTAAAGGACAGTGCTCAGGCAGTCTAAACCAGGCTGCTGTCAGACAAGCTGGATTCTAAAGTCTGTCCAGAATTGCCCCATTGACCTAAACAGATCTTTCAATCTGTTCATGAATTTATACCTTGTTTTCAGGAATAAAGCAATGAAGTTATTGAAGAATAAGATACTATAGGTTTTTAAGAATTTAAACTTATTTAAGAACAAGCATCCTTTTAGTTGCTTTTGCATCCTGTTTTAGCACGTAGTTGGCCAAGACATTAAAAGGAAAAAAAATTACCACAAACCCAGCAGTATTTTCCTGAAATACGTTTCCCTCCCTTCCTCCCTCCCAGGAATGGTGGACTCCTCCATGATGCCAATTATGGGCTACCTCGTAGATCTGCGTCATGTGTCAGTCTACGGCAGTGTGTACGCAATCGCTGATGTTGCGTTTTGCATGGGCTTCGCCATAGGTGAGTCTGGCCTTTTCCTGCCTACAATGCACCCAACAGAAAAGAAAAGGGAATATGCTACGGTGGTAGGTGTGAATCCCTGTGGTATTTGCAGGTTTTATAATCTGGGTGGTTATTTTCTACAAGAAATGAGAAGCAGAGGGAAAGGGCATGGGGAATTGTGTTTGGCATTTGTTCTCCTCCTCTGCCACGATGCCATGCTCAGCTTCGTAAACTGTAAGAGGCTTGAAGGCGGTAGGCACTGAAAATAAGTAGGATGTTCCTATGAAAGAGGCCTTGGAACCGTTAAAACTAACATCACAGCTGTGCTTCTCATAGTCTGTGAGGGAAATAACTACCCACTGACCCCCTGCATTACACAGATGCCCCCAGAGCGCCTAGGAGCATCTCTAATTTCTTCAGTGAATATGGATTATGGAGCCAGAAGAAGTTTATGGTATAATTAGAAATATGTCTTTACGTTCCTCAAATCAATTTGTAAAGTGGAAGTTTTGTATATAAAATTACTGTTGTTTGAAGTGACTGCTGCAAATTTTGGGTCTGAGCGATCTCCAGAAAAGGGTATTTTTATTTATACAAGGTCCTTCTGCTGGTGGTGCCATTGCAAAGGCCATTGGATTTCCATGGCTCATGACAATTATAGGGATTGTGGATATCCTCTTCGCTCCCCTGTGCTTTTTCCTTCGAAGTCCACCTGCCAAAGAGGAGAAAATGGTAAGCACAACATGTTTGTTTTTTTTTCTTTTGGGCTTTGTTTTCTTTATTTTCAGTAGAAAAAATGGTAATTTATTTCTGCATCTTTGCCTATAACTTCCCCAAAATGAGACCAACACAGTTTATTTCACCCTCATGCATCATCTTTGGAATGAACTCCCCTTCTTTTTATGTCCAAGATGTATAAAGAAAAGCTTTCTATTAGTTACATTTTACAAAGTCACAGATTCGATTATCATGAAACAAGCAGGGCCCAGCAGACATTCATCTGCAACAGCATATGGTGGAGTCCATAGAAAAGGCATTTTTGTTTTCCTTCAAGTGCCAGAACTGTAATGACCAATTCTAGTTTATTCCTGTGTGGTGCCTCAACCTGTTTTTTTTCCATGATCCTCTACAGTGTATTTTGCACCATACTTTTTTCTTCCTCCTTCTTCCTCCATGCGGATCATCTGCCCTTACAAATTAATGGCTTCTCTTATCCCATGTGTACCACAGGTGTTATCCTGACCCTTTTTTTAATATAATTTTGCCAATGACTTAATTTTCTATAGCCATCAGTGCTATGATGTCCAAGAACGATGCCTGGCCAAATCAGCAATCTTGCCCAGTCCCCTGCAGCCACAGTGGGTATCCAGGGACGAATCTCAGAGCAGGTGAACGTGTTGTGATGAATCCCTAAAATTAGGGGCCAAGACACCTAAGTCAAAAATGATGCCGCAATTAACGGCTTTTAACAGACTTTTTCCCCATTAATGTTCACATTTGCTCTCTGAATCCATGTAAAAGTCTACTTTTGACAAGTCTTTAAGTATTCTTATTTCATGAGTTCTGCCTCAGGATGCCCATGAGCGTGTCTGCTCTTCCCATTGCACTCCTTCACTCCTACTGCTCACTGTTTGCTTAGCCTGTCACCCCTAAAAGAAGATTCCTGCTTTGGTTTTGGTATTCGTTTTCCTTCATTTCCCCTCTTATCTATACTGTTCTCCTCTCTCCCTTTCCCATTTCTGTTGCTCAGTTTGCCCTTTGATATCATGTCCTTTATCTGCTCCCCTGCTCTGCTGTTCCAAGACTTCACGTTCCTATAGAGCTATGCTAGATCAGGTTCAAAAGCTCTCTTGCTGCAGGAGGGGACCTGCTGCTTGGCCAGAGGCAGATCCAACTTGGAGCCAGGGAAGCTTCTAGCAGCTTCTCACAGGAGCCACCCCTGTAGCCCACTGCAAAAACCCCACCCCACAAACCTGGTACAAACACCTGTCACCGTCTGTAGGTCCAGCCCACCCAGGACTTCATCCTTGCTCATACTGAACAAGGTTGACTTGGGCATAAAATTTAGTTGCTAATTGTTTTTTGGGGTGAAAAGAAAACAATTTTGCGTGACCATGGTCTTACTATGCAGCGCTGCAACTCTGCAAGGTAGGAAGGGAACCTGCTGCATGTGCTGCTCACGCTTTGTGCAGAACAGAAGCTGGAAAAATGAATCTTGCTGAAATAGTGGCATATGCGCGGCCAGAGACATTTCATTTTGCACATATTTGGACTGCAGAATCCCAAAGATTCCAGTTAATCCCTTCTCATGACCTTTGCAGACTGCACTGTTTTTTTGTGTTGTGCTTTTCTTTTTAACACACTGACTGAGGCTGAAGAACAGAAAAAAAAAAATAGAGCTGCTGTTGTTTGCTAGAGATAGGAAGTTTATGGTGTGCTTTCCTGGTCACTGACAGGGTTTCATGTGTAACATGGTAGCCACTGAAGGGACAGGAGCTCTCCCCACAGCCTAAACACGTTCCACAGCATCTGCCCCCACCAACGTGACTTTAACTGCAAAGGTGACTCCTGTTCCCAAAGCAGCTTGTGTCAGTGAACTGATGTGCCATTTTTTTGGGTTTGAAGAGTCAAAAGGAAGGTCCCTACTTTGTGCTCTTTGCATAATTAATGAAAATCCCAACTCAGTCACACTCAACATGAAATCATAGAATGGTTTGGGTTTGAAGGGACCTTAAAGATCATCTAGTTCCATCCCCCCAGCCATAGGCAGGGACACCTTCCACTAGATCAGGTTGCTCAAAGCTTCATCCAGCCTGGCCTTGAATGTTTCCAGGGATGGGGAATGGATGGAATGTTTCCACAACTTCCCTGGGCAACCTGTTCCAGTGCCTCACCATCCTCACAACTGCTCCAAGTATGGACTCCGATTATCCTAGGAAAAAAATCATCCCAAAGGATGCAATACTGCAGCTGCCCCCTAACAACGATGATCACTTATAGCTTGCCATGGGTGTAAAGTTGCAACGTTTGGGCCACCACTCTCAGAGGTGGGAAAAGCAAAGCTAGTGAGACCCAGCTTGAGGCAGTAGGAATGCTTCCACTAAGGCAATAGAAATTGGCTGGTGATGTCTATAGGGCCAAGAGCCCCCCCTCACACAGACCTATAGACCTGATTTACTCTAATTGAAATTAGCTTGGGTTCTACTTTGATGGAGGACAGGTGCATGCCTGAATGGTGGAGTCAACCACAGACCTCAGCTGGATGCCAAGCAGAAATGCTAATATTCATACTCTTGTTTTCTTCCAGGCAATACTCATGGATCACAACTGTCCTGTTAAAACAAAAATGTACACACAGAACAACATCCAGTCCTACCCAATAGGTGATGAAGAAGAATATGAAAGTGATGAATAACCTGAAAAGCCATATAACGTGTTTTGGTGTACCAAATGCAGTTCCATGTGAAACATCTCATCCAGAAATAGGTTTTAGTTGTGCTGTACATTTAATAGTGAAATGGTCAAAAAACCCAAAGGTATATTTTCCATCACCCATGGTTATAAAGCAGACTGCTAACTGCCTTATAAGGGGGAGAAAGCTTTTATAGAGGATTTGTATAGTGTTAATCTTTATTTTGCATATTTATTTAATATTACACTCTATTTTTGATTAAATGTGTAGTATAAGTCCATATAAATGTGAGTTTTCACTATTTGTTTTTTCAAGTCAAATTTTTGTTTGGAGTTACTGTCAAGAGCTCAGGTCTTTTTTATTTTTTTTTCCAATTAGATAAGAAAAAGGAAAGCTCAAGGAAAACCTATCCAATTTGCATCCTTTTAAACAGTATCCTTTCAGTACACAGAGAGGAGCTGAAAGCTGGAATTCAGAGTGTAGACATTGCTATGACTTTTTTCATCAACTTTAGATCACACATTAGTAAAATAAAAGGCACAACTTTGCCCATTTAAACAATGAGCTCTCCCTGAAACCACTCATGAAATGTTAGGGAAAAACAGTATTTTAAACAGCTGAGTGTATTGCTATTAGTCAGTACTAGTTAATGAAGTTTCAGTTAGTTAACCAGTTGTGCCCCTAAAACACACACCACTGGGTAAACAAGTAGGCATGAATGTGCACTGTTCCTTTCTCTTAAAGGGAATAAGAACAGCATGGAGATACTTTTTCTATCTTTTGAATCTTTCATTTTTAATATATCTTGACTTTATTTTAGATGCATCTTAAGTGACTGGTTAAGAAAAGCTGCAGTATCACAGTTTTTTGTCTTCATATGTATTTAAAGTTAAGCCAGTAACTTAAACAGTTCAATCAAACAAAAAAAAACCCCCTATTTTTCATGCATTTGCGTATGTGTCTAGACCTTAAACAGTTCAATCAAACAAACAAAAAACCACTATTTTTCATGCATTTGCGTATGTGTCTAGAAATTCAATATCTATTTATTTTTTAAAAAAGGCATTTAAAATATTGATTTTGCTAATAGTGGAAAAAAAAAGATCAGATTGTTGCCATTATCTTTTAACATTTTAGGTCACAGTCTAACACAAGAAAAAGCACTGTATTAGGCAGTTCCTATCTGCACTGAGAAAAATTAGATTTCTTTTAAAGAAAGCATTTTAAAACATGTCCTGGTCAACTGTGGTGTATCTTTTAATTTGTAAAATTGAAATCTTTATGTGCCTTCTTTCATGTAACTGCAGATGTTTTATGTACTACAGCATAGGTACTATGTTTACATATAGTTTTGTAAAGTGTATATACTATGGTCAGAAAATACGAAAAATAGAGTGGATCAAACTTCCAAGTATTGCTTTGTCAATAATTACGCATTCAGACCACGTTAAAATAAAGTTATCTAAAAGAAGTTCATGATCTATTGTAATAAGGTAGAAAAGAATAAAAAAGGATCCCCCTCATAATTTGCCTTATGCATTGTGGTTACTGTACAATAGCAGGGGGGGAAGCCAACAAATATTTCAGGTCATGGGAAAGCACTCCTCATTTCTAGTCCCTTTGTAATTCAGGACTAATGTGTTCACTCCAGGTCATAAATACGTTCAGCTTGTTCAGGTAACCACGATGCTTCCAAAACCAGCCTGTTATGTGGCTGCTGGTCTGAGATTTAACTTTTGGGAGTAGGAAAGGCCGTACCAGGGCAGAGCCCTGTCTATGCTGCCACAACAAGGTGTTGAAGTAAGGGTGAAGAGTCCGAGAAAACATTGTAAGAGGCTTAAGAGATGTGAAACACCAAGCAATATCATCCTATGGTTGATTTGAAAAAATCCACTTACAGATTTTATAGTGGTATATTTTCTGTTGCATTCTTTTGAATATATAACAGATGGAAATCCTTCCTTAGAAGCTGAGAGGTGTTTGGAGACAGACATTAATATAGCAAAACCCAAGATTCTGCATTTTGTCAAGTATTCACTGCGACCTAATAAGTGACAATTGTGTATATACATGATTATTTACATTAGGTTCAGATTTTAGTGTTGCACATTCATTTGGACACTTGATACTTTGCCCCAGGGTTTTTTTTTTTTACTTAGCTTAGTTGTTCTTTTGGTCAGCATCACATTGTTAATCCAATTAAATTTGAAACTAATATACCAATGTTAGAATTCTAAATTATCACATGACATGTTCATTTATTTGCCAGCTGATTAACTAATGTACTGCTTAAAATTCAGAAGCATAAAAATAATGCAAACATAGCAACTTATACATAAATTTCAAAAAAGCATTGAATGGCTTATTTCATGGCTTAGTTTTGTACTTCTGAGCAGATCAAAATTACAGAAGAGTTCACATTAATTTGCAAAGCAAGATGAGTATGAGAAGGAAGCCTGAGGACAGACAAATTCACTACATTCCTCTTCTGCAGACAGAGCCAGGTTTCTACTGGGGCATCACAGACCAGCATCTTACTGTTAGAGAAAAGTGAGCCAGTAAACAGTAAAGATTTGTTTAGTTATTATCAAGTTACATTTTCTGAAGGACAGGGCAAATCAGAAGAATTTTTCTTGGACAATTTAAAAAAAAAAAAGAAAACCACAACCCACAAACATCCTTAGCATTTTAAAAGATTCTCTAGCTACACAAAGAATCAACTGGAATCACCATTTTGAAAGACATCTGTCTACTATTAAACTGTGTAAAATAAAAAAATAAATGCATATGCAAATAGAAAGACCAATTAATCCAGCAAACAGTAGTTACACTTAATGCAAAAATGTGCGTTTTTCTCCCAAAGATTTCTCCTTTAAGTAGTAGCTTTAGATGATAAACTGCTGTAATACAAATGTTTAAAAAAAATACTAACACAATGCAAAGAAGTTGATAATTTAGCAAAACTATTTTATTAAAGCTTATTCTCATGATAAAATAATAGCCAACAAAATCATATTAGGCAGATCTTCTGCAAATGTGTGTAGCTGCCACCTATTCAGATATCATTAAGTCAAGATATTCTTGTTTTCTGTGGTATTCTTTATTTTCAGCTATTTACAGTCAAGCATGAAGCAAAGATTACATCAGGAATGTAGTATTACAATTTTCCCCTCAAGATTAATCATTTATTGTAATTAATGCCAGATAGGAATTCGTGTTTTCCTTCTTATGACTAAAATACAATTATTTTGCCCTTTCCCATTCGGTATATTTAAAAATATTGCACTACATTTAATTTATCTCTTACAATCATCATCATCAACGCTATACGAGGAAAACTATATCCAGCTTTTCTTACCCACTGTATTACACAAGTCAATTTAAAACCTCGAATGCATTTTTAAATCAGTATTTGCATTGATTTCACAGCTCCTTCATGTGTACCAGGGTTTTAATGAAGTACTTGGATATATTTGAAAACCTCTATAGTAAGAGCAAACACTGATGGAGACTGAATGCAGATCACCACCAATGGTAAGCCACCGAGAAAATGGAGTGGGGAAGTCTTAATATGCATCTCAAGCAAGTACAGGTTAAATAACTTTTAGTCAATAAGGGAAGCTAATTTTGTGCGATTATTTGCTGAAGCTTAATTTCAGAAGTGTGTCACATGCCTATCTTAGCATGGATAGTGTTTTCCATACATTAACTAAGTAAGTATCCACTGCCCAGAACTCACAAAAAAGTGCAAGTAGTTGCATGAGTGGAAGTGGCCGTTTCGTTTAGAAGTACAAATATGCTTTTCCACCTGTGAAAACCATTGCTTCTTAATTTTGCCCATCACAAAATAAACTGAGAAGCAAATTTAACGGAAAGGTACATTACAGACTGCCTGAAAATTTAGAGGAGTTATTTTTACCATCTTAGATTCAACTCCATTTCCACAAAGGTGTTTTTCTTCTACTACCAGTGATAACGATACCAGTACCTAACACAGTACCTAAAATAAAGATGATATTTTATACAGCACTACTATACACAGAAGATGAAACAAAGACATGTTTACAGGAAATAAATAAGAACAACGGCCTTAGCCAGGTGATGCTAAGATCCACAGTTCACATATAGCACAAGACCAGATAGTTCTCTTCAAAAGCTGCTGGCTGAAGTTCTTCCTCATCTCTACTAGACTCACTTATTTTGACCCAAATAAAACATGTTATATACACTATAGGACAGTTTTCCAACAAAGGTGATCCTTCTGCTCAGACTGCATCTTTTGTCTGAGAAGCTTAATGCAACTTACCACTGTATGATCACTCAAAAGTGTTGAGAGAACACATTTAGCTATTTGATATTTTGTACCTTAAGCTTTCTGAAATGAGATAATGTCTGCAGCAAAATTTTTGGTTTTGGTTTTTTTTTTTTTTTAAATTACTTAAACCATCCTTACATGCTTTTTCATAGAATGCAATGAAACCTCCAGCTCTTGGGAAGAACAATTTTCCTTTATCAAACTATCAGATAATACAACAACACTTAAACATATAATTTTATTCTGGAAGGCAAAGTGTCTTATCTCAAATATATTCCCAATTAAATTATGAGATGCTGGTATGTACTTTGGTATCTAGTGTTATTCAATCAGGATACAATAGCCCAAAATTCTAAGGAGGATTTTTTTTTTTTAGCATAGCATTACTATATTTCATTTTAATTACAATCTATGAAAAGTTCTTATATTTAACAAAAACACAGGAAACAAATGATATGCAATGTTAACTTCAGTAAATATTAACAACAAAATGAAAGACCTTTTGTTTGCTTCATGATATGTTTGGCAAAAAAATACAGAACTATCGAGAAGACATACAGTAACTGTGATGAACCTTTTAAAGCCTGGTCCCTCCGTGACTTCTGTGTCAGTCATCAGCTTAGGCATGCAACAAGCTTATAATTTTTTCATGATAAAATGGAAACTAAAAATTTTGAAAGTCCTGCCAGTTTCCTGTTGAAAACACAAGCTCAAAAGAAAAAAAAAAGGCGGTGGGCAAGTAATACATTAAAAGACACCACACATTAATGTGAAATGGTAAGGTTACATAATTAGAAAAAATAAAAATAAGTTACTAAAAATAAATTTCCAATATAAACCCCAAAATGTAGTTTTAACCAGCCAATTTAACAAAATGATGGTGCTGTAGCTGGAGAAGAACCATTATTAGCTGTACTCTTACACAGGCAAACAACTGTGGAGAAGCAGGACGTGTACATTTTATCAGTGTTTTAATTTAATTTGCATGTGTTTGTAATTAAGTGCAAAGTATTCCTTTAGTCTGTTCCTTCAAAGGCTAAATATGTAAATATCAGTCTACTGATTGAGGTGGATCAACTGGTTCTTCTGATATGATGTTGAATGTTGGAGCCTCTGTCAGACTGACATCTTCGTTATCCATTTCTTCTGCTATACTGGATTCCTCTGAATCTTTAGTCACTCTTTTGGACTGCCGCTCTAATGACATGTTCTCCAAAGACTCGATATCCTCGATGCCTGCTCTGTAGTGGATCATCAGCAGCGTCAGGGCCTGCAGTCTTTCACCCGACTTAGCCAGCGCAGCAGAAATCAAGATTTTTTTCCTTGCATCGGTCGTCTCTTTTTCTTCTTTAACAAGTGAATTATTATTTTCCAGCTCCTGGTCTATTTCGTTCTGCAGCTTATCCAACATAAATTCTAATTTCTGGAAACGCTCCTCTGTAGGTAAACTTCTGTAGAGATCACGTCCGATTTCTTTAACTGCAATGAAGACACTGTCATCTAGACCACCCTCCTTTCGGACCAACTTTATCCCAGTACCTGCTGCACGTTTTGAAGGACTGCTTGGCCCACTGATTTCAGTATCACTACTTTCATTGTCAGAAGTGTTGGGTGTGTGCTTTGGTGAAGGTTCTACCACCTCTGTTCCTTGCTCAGCAAGGCGAGCTTTGGGGACTTGACGAAGGTTTAACAAACGGGTGCTCGTATTGATGATATGCCTGGTCAGACCTGTAGTTCTGTTAACAGACTTAGATTCTGAATCAACACGAGAGGAGGATGCAGCTTGGGGAGCTTCCTGTCCTTCTGCTCTACAACCTCCCACAGTTCGTTCAAGTCGCTTTTCAGCTCCTACACAAAAGGGCGTCTCAGTTAGACATTTTTCTTGACATTTTTTATGGCAAACATAAGCACAGAACATGCACTGAGAAGCCGCTTTAGTCCATACTTTCTTTTTGCAGTAATCACACCAAGTTGGATTGTGAAACTGAGTATCTTGAAAGTTATGCTTGTTCTCCGTAAGAACAATTTGTCCCGAGTAAGGATCCTCTTTCTGAGCTGCACGAGCTTCTTCTTCCAAATGACACTCCTTTTCTTTCTCCAGGAGAAAGTTTGAATCATCTATTTCACCTTCTTTTAAATATTTAAAGTGTAAAGTTACATCGCCATAACAAAATTTCTCATTGAATCCCTTATGGGTTGTCAAATTACGCAATGCTGTTCTAGTGACTGCTGCTTTAGGTGTAGGAGCATCCAGTTTAAATGTTCTACTATATTCCATTGAGGATGTAGCTAAACAATCTAAAGCAATTTCTTCAAGTTTTATGCTTGCATATCCTAAGCAGATAAAACCACCTGCTTTGAAAGGGTCTCTGCACCACAGTGCAACATTAAGGTACTTATGGTATCCTTCTACTTCAAACAGACAGGAAGATGTTCTTGTCTTTGGCCATCGGCCTTGCCGGGTTTTATAAGGAATTTCTGGTGATTCCCATGTTCGATGATCATCTCCACTATCTTTGTAACTACGCGCATTTTCTGAAAGTCCATCTTTTAAAGTATCTTGTTTTGGTGCTGTTATTACTTTTGATACCGTTGTGTCTTCTACTTGATCACTATTCTTTACGACCTTCTCTGTACATTTGTCTCCGTTATTTGTAGGTGGAGGTGGCCTCTCTGGTTTTTCAGAAGATACACCTCCAGTTTCCAACAGATTTTGAGTTTCACTCGTAGGCAAAATAGGCTTACTTTGTGGCCTAGGTGGCACAGGAGGCTTAGTACTGGATCCTTGCGCTTGTTTAACCAATTGCTGTGATGCATCTGAACCCTCAATCGTTTTGAGCGCTGCCACTTTAGCTCCATCTTTTTGTTGCGTTTTTGATGTTGCCTGATAACTTCCTAAGTGTAGCTTTCGATTCAGAATGGGAGATATAGTTCCAAGTGGTTTAGCCGCAAGTATTACTACTGAACGTTTGGGACTCGGAGTTGTTGGCAGATCTTCTTTTTGGTCAGGTGATTCACAAGCTAAGTCCTCAAATTCTGAATCAAAGTCTCTGTTGTCAACATCAGCTGATAAACTAGCTTGGTCATCTTCTGGCTGTGTCAAGAAAGCAGAGTCTTCCAGTTGTCCAAATCCATCCTGCAGCGCTGAACCATGCTGATTATACCCAACAGGCCTTTCATAAAAGACTAAAACTCTGTCCCCAGCCTGTCTGATAAGTTTCAACACTTGGACAGTTGATGTGATTTTAACACCTATTAAAAAAAAAAAAAGACAAAAATCGTTAAATTTGAAAATGGTTAAAAATAGTTGAAAAATATGTTTAGAACTTTAATAGTGGTAATAACACTGTTGCTCACTAACAGAGGAATTCAATTATGACAGAAGAGCTGAACAGAAACATAGCAGTTGGATCCTTTCTGCTTTATTAATAGAAACATATTGCTTCAGGAGCTGAATTGCGACACTAACATATACAGTCCAGTTTGCTGTTTGTTACTGCTGTAATCTTAAAGAGTAATCTTGGTTTTATATGCTAACATATTTAACCTTTGCTATTAGTCTCATCATAAATTTGGACTTTTCAGATGCAGGCATTTAACAAAGGATTAAATGAATGATAATTGTAAGCAGCCATAAACACACAAACAGTTTTTATTGGGCATGACAGGCACAGCTGTAATTATTGAGAAAGGGAGTCAATTTGAACTGTATGCACAGCCACCTTTCAGTTTGCAAGATGAGACTTATTTTAAAAAAAGCTGACATGTTACTCACTGCCAATTGCTAGAAGTCTGTCTCCCCTCTGTAGATCAGCAGCTGCAGCAGGTGAGTTTGGAGTCACAGTTTCAATAACAACATGCCCTGCATCTTCTTCCTTGGACTGCACAAGGCGGAGCGTGAGCCCAACGCTTTGTAGATTCCCTTTCACTAGTTCTGCCTAGAGAGAAAGAAGTTAAGAGCATGTCAAGCTGTGGGAAGGATTCACGGTTAATAGCCATCTAGTTTGAACTAAAATTATACAACTGAGATTACGAAAAAAGTTACATTAGGACATCCATTGACTTCACTGAGTATATTATCACATAATGGATTCACTATCTGCCAATCCAGTCTACACCTTGCAGGAAAGATGGAATCAAACATCATCAGATCTGAAGAAACAAACATGCCAAAACTAGAAAGCGGTGCAAGGAATTGTCAGCAAGATATGTACATAAAAATATGTATATGAACAAACATGTATAAAATAGTTTATATACAAATAATAACAGTACTGTGCAAATACAAATCAGC